GTCTGTCTGTCTGTCTGTCTGTCTGTCTGTCTTTATATATATCCATCCGTCCATCCATCCATCCATCCATCCATCCATCCATCCATCCATCCATCCATCCATCTATATGGCCATCCATCTTACCAAAGTGACTTTGGGTGGCTAACAAGAATTAAAATACAATATAAAGCTGTTCTTCCCAGTACCCTCTTTGTAACCCAAAATGTACAAAACGTGCAGTGATCAGGAACAGATGTTAAAGGAATATCCCCAGAGGGGATCATATAAGTTTCCATTTTAAATCTCAGCCTCATTTTCTAGATCCTTAAAATGCATCTTTGCGAAATGTCTTCCCGAAAATTGTGAAAAAAACATTTCAAAACCTAGATTGTTCTCTTTATTTTCCCTTTCCCTTTTTTTTATGTTTTTTAACATTCACTCAAATCCTTTCTTTTCAGTAAAGTAAATTTTATAGATATCTTGAAAAGGACAGTTTAAATTAAGATGAAATACTACAGGGGGAGCCCTTTGGGAAGTGGCAAGGAACAAACGTGGCCACAGGGCATTCCCCTTTTAATGCAAAAATATACTTACAGGAATTCATTTTCTAGAGTCTGTTTAGACATTATTATTTAATGTTCATTCTGACAGTATCCATTTATCTTGAAAAACTATAACCAAGATCCACATTTGCCTTTCTTCTTTTGAAACTGTGTTGAATATTATTGCATGGAATCTCTAAAGTCACCTTCATGTTTGTAGAAGAAATCAGTGAATCGCAGAATCATAGAGTTGGAAGGACCTACTTAAAGCATTGTGTCCAACCCCTGCTCAGTGCAGGGGTTTCAAACTGGTGGCTTTCTAGCCTCTGCTTAAATATGTACATCCAATGGTGAGTCAATCAGCACTACAGAGAATTGGTTGCATTGTCACGTCAAAGTGCTTGTACTGTTAGGAGTCTTTTATATCATTCAGTTTAGAATCCTCCTTACTGGACCTCCTGACTTTGTACTGTGTCGTGCAGTCTGGAATGATAGAGAACAATGATCTTCTGTGTGACATCCTTCATTTATGAGTGCTGTCATTATTCTCACTGAGTCTTCTCAAGGCTAACCATTCCCCCTGCCTTCAATCTCTCTTGTAGGACCTAATGTTAAATCCCTTGTTCAGCCTCACTGCCATTCTCTTGTGAGCCTGTTTCACTTTATCCAAAACCTTCTTAAAGTATGTTGTGCAGCACTGGACACAGTATTTGAAGTGGGGTCTGACCAATACAGATTTGTAGTGGAATTGTCTTCCTGTGACTTGGAAACTTGCATTCTGTTGATGTAGCAAAAAATTCCATTTGCCTTTTGCCAGCCACATCACACTGCTGATTCATACTTAACTAGTGAAGAATTTGCAACGTCAAGGTCCTTTTAACACTCCAACCACATATTATCTG